AACCAAACTTCGCTGAGGAGGCTGGCGGGTGGATTACTCTCCTACATCAATGTGTTATAGCAGAGAGAAACGTATCTTGCCATTTTCTCGGAAGTCATTTAAAGAATGACACCGCACTCGCGATTGATGCAAGGAGAGAAAACTTGGGATTGCTAGGTTTTTAGACAAGTCTTTCATCAGAAATATCTGGAACACAAAACAGAAAGCATGATGATCAATATGATTCATCGTTGCGATATTAATCCCATCCACCTCCTCCCAAATTCACTCACTACACTATCTCCGCATCCCCAATCACCTTCAACCTTTCCCTCTCCGCCCAAACTCACCCATGCCTCTCATACCAATCAATCTCCAGAAACCACTTTCCCAAATCGAACCTCACAACTCAAGATGAAGCAAGAACAAATGCCAGCCGCCCCCGATCCACAAAAAGTCTCTCGCTCTCTATACAGAACCGTTATTGAACCCACCTACATGAAAGCAACTTATACGAGTCTGACCCCTATCGCTGCACCAAAGTCCACAAAGGGCCGGGTAGTTTTTGCTGCACGTTGATTTGTAGCAATAGGGGGGAGGTGAATATCCTTATAGGTAAGTGTTATTGAGTGGATATTACCCACACCACGGTAGTCACTTAGTGATATTTGCCGCGTCTTTAATCGTTCACGATATATTTGAGACCTATCACATCAGAAAGATATGTATGTACAGATAACCGAGGAACAAAACACTCCTTCCCCTGGACGAGTAGATCGAATCATGATTTCAAATATTCACATCGCCCATCAAACTCGACACTCCTAGAGTCTGTACAATAGGTAGATCCCATATACCATGCATGCTATTCGTCCATATCTACTTCCTTCACCAATAAACCTTCGTAATTCTCATAGAGCTCTTTTCTCTACAGTCTATAAAGCTTCTCTAGCCAAGCTCATATAAAATGTCCTTTAATCCTTCAGGTCTACATCAAGTAGATCTACGACACTCACTTACCTTACAAAAAGAACTTTGCGCGCACACCATCTGCATCTCTATATATCTAGACATCCAAAAAATTTCCATAGCATCCCAGACGAATACATTACCAATTTCAGGAACCATCGACGTGCACAATCCGAGAATACAAAGGCTTGCATATAGAACCTTTCATTACTTCTGCACATATCAAGCATCACATATATGGACTAAACTCAATATTTCCACAGATAAAGTCATAATAATCAGCATCAACAAAAGTAGGTAGTATTCGTTGTGTTTCTATTAAAAACATACACACAGAAACTTTTCTATTCCCACTAATTTTCACAATTCCAACAGACAATCATACAGTCCGGTGAAGAGAAGAAGAATAAAATGACAGACAAACATATGCCCAAATAAAATCTATAGAAGAGAAAGATACCCAGACGCCAATTCGCTAGCCACAGACGGGCGCATAGCAGTACTCACGTTACAAAAGCTCTCATTAAAGGTGTTAATTGCATCTCCTCATGAAGCAAAGACAATATAGTATATCCAGAGAAAGGGTGATTTTTGTCTTTTCGTTTTCGTAACCGTAATGGGGATGTTCCCGTTCAAACTCATTCATCCGTCGATTATCCTTCCATCTGAGTTCGATCATTAATCTTATGAATTGCCATTCGCGGCATCCTTTGACTTCGATTTTCCCATAATCTTTTGCCATGCCTTGATCACCAGATCCTCCTTGAATCTCTCCCACCATGTTCTGTTCAAGAAATTACTCAACTCCCTGTAATTGTACATCTCACCCCAACAATCACGACCCCACTCGCAACCTGCCATATTAACCAAGAAATCCCGATCATGTTCATCATAATGAATGCGCGTATCATTTCCGTTATCGGAGCATGCTCCAGGTGGGAAACTATTGATTTTGCGCTGTGGAATAAATGCGGTATGAGGACGTATCCAAGGTTGGTTGATGTACAAGAATTCGAGCGCGTCTTGTTCTTTATGTTCCCATTCCATGTGTTTTTGTTCATAGCCGACGGGGTCCCACCATACGTCGAGAAGGCGATCAGTCCATGCGCTGCGTTTGACGAAGAAAGAACCAAGATTGAAACCGGAACAATCTTGTGGGACTATAAGGTTTATAGAGCTTGCTTGACCGTCTCCGACTGTGCTACGAGATTCAGCATCCAGATAGGGAGAGTCGAGAGGGTGTGTTATGTTCAGTGGGTTATAATCATTGATATCGCGGTAGGTATTTTTGGTTAGGCTGTTGAAGATGTGGGATTGGAGGGAGTAGGAAGGTTCCATGATGAAGGTATTGAGGTCGAGCCACCAAAACCTGCGCAGTGTTAGCTTCTAAGCTCCATTTGTTGCATATCAGGGTCCAAATTACCATTCAGCTTCAGGGTATTTTCTCAGAGAATTCCGGATAGTATCAACCTTTTCCCAACTCTCTCTCCATTCGTGTGCGTATCTCTTCTTGGTGCTCATGTCTACGATCTCCAATTCGTATCCCCATTTGTTTGCGTATTTTCGTTTGTTTTTCACACTGTCTCGTTCGATCGCCCACTCCCTTGGTCCCTTCCACTCCATAACTCCACCTCCTTGATTTGCTGCCAATATTATAACGAACTTTTTGCCCCCTCCAAAATGCGTTGCTCGGCGCCACCAGTAATGTAAAGCTATCTCGAGGTCAGAATTTCTCGCTGCCCCTGCTCGATGAGTTGACTTACGTGTAGAATAGAAAAGAATTATCATCATTACAAACCCCAAAACAATCATAAATCGCAACTTCATCTTGCTACTGACTCTCGCAAGACCGTTTCTTATACGTGCCAGCTTAGAAGAACCTAACCATCGTCCGCGCCCCAATTTCTCTTTTTCCGCATAACTGCCATCCCCTCCCATGTGGAAATGCGGCAGACTATTTGATATATTTCTGATGTGCCGATTGAAGAAGCCATTGTTTTTGGTTGAAAATGAAGGGTAACCATTTACTTCCTCGCTCTTTGCTCTCGCAGACTCCCAAGTTACCGAACCTCCATTTCCGCCTGTCCTTTGCATTTTATTTGGACTCGATCTTCCACTGACATTGGCATAAGGGCTTGAAAGGCCTGGACTAGCCCATCCTCCTCCAGGTCTTGGAGATGGACTTCGCGATAGTGACATTGAACCAATCGGTGTTCCAGGTATAGGTGATAACACCCGGGTGGAGGAATGGGAGGAAGTTCGTTCGTCAGGCTCGATTCCTGTCTTTATGTGTATTGATGACCGTTTCCGATGATGTTGGTGGGAGGATTTCAAAGAAGAAAGACCGGAGGACGCCAGCTTGACGAGATGACCAAAGAAAGTCAAAAAAATGAATAAACAATAAATTTTAATGAGACACTATAACTAGCTCGTTCCTATCACCTTACTCGAGCTTTCCCAAAAATTCAAGTCGCGACCACTCTATGGAACGAATTCGTTGGCTGAATGCAAAGTGTCCTGAGGTTCTTGGCGTTCTCTCTCGTGTTTATTAGATAAGGGATGGATGGTGTAAGTTACCGGTACTTTCTTTTATTTATTTCTGCTTTTAGAACTATTGGCTTGAGCGTTTTGTTGAATGGCGTTTTTGATTTGTTGGTAGTAGCTGTAAGAAGTTGAAGAACTGAATACGATATACATGTATGTGTGAGTATGACTGTGAGTATAGTACGACTTCAAGACTTCAAGATGACAAGATGGCAAGAAGGAAAGGAGAGTCAGAATGAATTAAATTATATACTATATACCCGGGTACCTATATGCAGTTGTTCCTCTGTTCCCATTCCAATCCTTTCTCTTTCTCCATTTATTAACGAAATTAACAAAAATCTGAAATTAATTTATCTTGTGTAATTACGCTTCATTGATAGGGGTAATCCAGGAATCTAGTGCACGAGGGAGTATTACGCCTTGTTGTATCTCGACTGCTGCTGGTGGGTAAACTGGGGATCCGATAGCAATTTCTTATCCATTGGCTTGGTGTAGGAGTCTCGAGGGAGTGTGGCTATCTCATCGTCTCCTCTGGTGCATCTTCGGTAGGTAACCTTATTCCTCCCCTTTAAAGGTTATTATACCTTAAATTATGGAAACATACATCGGATACACAATCGGCGAACAGATAAACTTGGTGTGTGTACATCGTATAGGAGTACAGTGAGTGGCACGTGAGTGGCTTAGCTCATGCTTGTTACTGAAGACGTGATGAGGTGATGAAATCTTCCATGATAAAATCTTTCACATCTTGAGCTGAACGTTACAGCTGTTTTTAACATTTTACTCATCTACAACAGCAAGACGATGATATATGCTAGGTCTGACAGTGGCAAGGCAGGTCTTGGAGTTGGATACAAAGTCACCACGACAGCCGTCATTAATTTCCAAAGCAATGTGTATATCTCGCAAGTTCAGTGGGTCTTGGAACTGGACATGCTGGCATCTCAACGGTGAAGAATCTATACGGTCGAGATGGCGAGCTGAATACTGCAACTGCGATTAATACGAGGATGCCTATGCCACTGTCGCCGTAACCGTCACCGTCGCAAATACTGATTCAAGCACCAGACAGAGTGTTAGTAAGCTTGCTATTACATCCACCATCCTTTCTTATCTTCCGGAGTACCTGATACGAGAGAGTTGCCCAAACGTATTCGCAGCTGGATGGGCAAATCGGAGGTCAAGAAGACTACCACCAGATACTCAAATACGAAAATCGAAAAGAGGGGACAGAGGCTTCTCAAGAATGATCTCTCACTGACCACATGCCAAGGAGCAAGCTTGTTTCCACTAACATGCACGTCATATGATCACACGTGACACACAATCACCAAGCCTCCATACTCTTGTGGGATGATGACCTATACTTCTTCAATTTCTACATCCAAGACTTCTAATTCATCTGAGCTAACCATTTCTCTTCATTCTTTACATTTAACAGTGACAACAAAATCATGGTAGACATTTGGAAACAACACTATCTCAAATTCAATTTCAAGCTCCTACGCAACGCAACGTCCCTCTTTCTTGCAAGCACCAGCGCAGCCAATTGCATAGGCAGAAGCCCATCCAGATGCAGCAATGGTGGGCGCACCCGAATGTTTTCCAAAATAACACATTCCGGTGTCCTTTTGAAAATCGACAGATTGACACGCCAATGTGAATCCGCAAATCTTCATACATTCCTCTAAGGAGCCTGCCTGTGTATCGCCGATAGGAATTGTTCCATGGCGCTTGCAACAGTCCATACGGAATCGCTGAAAATAGTTAGTTGCAGTCTCAAACTTCGCCTGATTTCATTAGACACTCACTTGTCCTGTTGGGGAATCCCACGTTTGTCCATCGGCATTTGGGCATTCTGTTGAGCAGAGGTACGTCAAGTCGTCTTGCTTTGCAGATGTTGGTGGATCAATGACAACTGCTGATGCTTTTTTGTCTGTGGAGAATAGTCAGCTTCCACCGAATCAAACCAGTCAACATGGATTAATTACTTGTAGCATCTGCGGTTAAAGCTTCAACGCCAGCCTCAAACATTTTACACTCCCAGTCGGGCTTCCCATTAGCAAATGTTACACTATTGTAATCAGTCTCGTCCTAAGGCTTTTTTTAGACTATTCTTCATACCTCTTGCATTCGGGGATATCTGCACAAGCAGTCATGCATTCGGCGAAGTCATGAAGTGGTCGGCTTCCAGAGACCGTAATTTCAGCTGTATTCTCGAAGCTGCACTTGACCTGAAAGTACGTGCCCTGAGGAGTCAAAAAGATTTTTCCCTCATCTGAAATCGTCAGTGAATAAGATACTTCCAGTACTATTGAGTGTGCGCTTACTGGTTGGACATTCGCCATCAGTTGTGAAACTTGTGCTAGCGGTCACACTTTCTGCGAGCGCTACTTTGGGTGCTGGACATTCTGGTGGTGTGCGGTACTCTGTATCGGGACGCTGGTTACGCTCTTCGAGAGGAAACCAGGTGTGCGTGCCTGGAAGGGGAAATGTCTTTTCGTGTCAGTAAAAATAAGGTAAAAGATAAATATCCTTATTCCAGCTTAGTTTTACTCACCGGTATGTACTACTAAAGTTAGCGGAATGCAATCATACTCAAAGATTAAGCAATGCACATACCTCCTGCTTTGTTGCACACAATTTGGTGTTGATGTTCCAATCGGCAGACTGGCAATTTGGAAGGGTTGAGCAATAATCTGCACATGCCTTTTGTGTGGCTATGATCGTATTGTCAAGAGGTTTAGCAGCGGTACCATGATCGCATTTCAACTCAAACGTTACTCCATTTGCCGTTGTATATCTTGCTCCGTTATCTGCCGGACAGGAATAGACTTTGGGTCTCCCCGCTGCAGGATCCCCAGCCACAGGAGCAGTTGAGGCGCCAGGTCTTCCTGCTGCTGGAGCTGCGTCCGAAGACGTAGGAGGAGTTGAAGCACCGCCGGGTCTACCAGCAGCAGGAGCGGGGCCTGAAGCCGCTGGCTGGATTGGCACCTGATCAGGAGGAGGTGCACTACCAGGTCGACCAGCCGCGGGTGCTGGGGCAGGAGCTGCCGCACCTGGCCGTCCTTGAGCCTGACTTTGAGCGTTCACAAATGGCTGGAATAGAAATAAAAGGGAAAAGAGCACAACTAGAGTACTTCTAGTGAGGCCCATCATGGTTGTCGATGATATGTGACTCAAGAAGGATAGTAAGAGGATGAAGGCGAGGATATCTCTCGCAAGCTTATAGAGCAGATCTTCAGCTTTAAGGTTGGACTTTATGGAAGTTTAAACAATAAGAGTGTTTGTTGTTCGGATGACAGCTGAAATGGAGCAAGGGTCTCAGTACTGACTCGGTTATTTTAAGGTAAATACGTTTCGTTCCCCAGATTAGCCCCACATATGTTCATGCATCCTTGTGCTCATCTATGACACCACTATTTCAAGACACATTCAGCTAGCAACAAATAGTTACTATCACACAACAAGGTTGGTGGGGGTAACCTGCATTTCTTCAACCGAAATTGTACAGACAGTACTACTGCAGTACTACTGAGATACATACATGAAAATCAATATTTGGCTACATACTATGTGATATTTTTGATGAGGGCCCAGTTTAGAACATCACCGAGTAGTTAAAGCAAGGAGCAACACAGCGTGTGCATACCTTCTCAACAATACTAAGTCAACACGTCACAGGCTCCCTCGCCTTCACGGAGTGTCGATCCAAACAACTTTGGGAGAAACGTGCATGCCTATCATGTTGTCAAACACCCTTTCATGTCTTCACACATGCACAACCAGGTTCTCTCGGAGCTTTACAAAATGCAATCCCAATCAATGTTCCACAAGCATGCCCATAATACAGTTCATATTTGGACTTTGAGACTTGCGTTGCGAAATACTCGTTTGATAGAGAATTGACGAGACAATATTCTTTTCCATCGCTCTTTTGTATAGCCCTCTATGACCAGTCTCTTGAGAGTTTACTTCGACATATTTTTTTCTCTTTCAAAATTGCAAACAATTCTGTCAACAGTTTGTTAACATCGCGGACTGAATATTCAATCTTAACATGTTGATTCAAAATTTAGCGAAGCTGTTGCTTCCTCTTACTGTCCTAACAGGTCAAGTCCTTGCCGTCGACCCAACTCCAGCTGATAAGGCAAAATGGGATGCAGTATGCAAACAAAGTAAGATCATCACTTCAACATTCCTAGGGACTAACATGCTAATTCATAACAGAGGCCGGATCTCAATTTTGTGAGTTGATAAAATAACCTTGAATTTGCTCTCTCTGACAATCTTTGCAGCCATGAAGTTCGATGCGGCTGGCAGTAGGTTCTCCCTAGATAAGTTATTAGTTTTGTGCTTATTGAGTATCCAGAACCGACTGGACAATGTGTCGCTCCTCCAGTTACAAACTGTTATTGGGGTCCATATACCGTAAGAGATGATCTCTCTGTACGATTGCGATTACACGTTCTAAACTCTCTAGGATCCAAAAACAAACCAACCTGGATGCTGCGGTAAAGACAAGGTAAGCTTCTTTCTACTTTGGTCTCATAAAACATGAAGCTTATTGAAAAAATTGTAGGGGACTTTCAGCGTTGATCCCGTGATCAGGACTGAAGGAGCATGTTGCGTTGCTCCAAGTGTCTTTTCTTTCGATGCCAAAACGAACAAAGGCGATTGTTGCGCCCCGGGTAAATTCTATCATGCCGATCCGAACACCTTGATTGGAAGCTGCTGTGCAAATGACGATGATGTGTTCACCTGTGATTGTTCTTGCAAGCCAGTAAGTGCTCATTCTAGGGGATTACGATTTGGAAGTTTCTAGACTAGAGCTAATGTCTTAGAACCCAACACCTTCCTGCCCCAAGGGCGACGGAAAAGAATTTACAGCTGGGGGCAAGAAATACAAGCTATATTGTAATTTGAGTGAGTAAATTCCCTCACCTCAACTTTGATCAATGTCTAACAAGCTTATTGTTAATCACGGAACAAATGACTTGGGTGAAGGACCCGCAACTTCATTGAGCGATTGCATGACCCGCTGTTCTGGGATCAGTAACTGCGTCCGTGCAATTTGGAAAGAAGCTACCGGAATCTGCTATCTACGAACTCACGGCAACAACGATGTACCCGCAACAGCTGATCCCTTTGATAGTGCTCATCTTATCGAGGAGCCTGTTTGTCCCTGCCCGTGCCCAGGTACAACTCCATGTCCATCGTGCCCAACACCAGACCCCTTTCCAGATAAATGCCCGGCTGCTGAAGGCAAGACTACTACGGTGGGTGGAGTTGAATACAAGGTTTATTGTACATTGGGCCACACATCTGCAAATCCAAACTTGGGAGTTTCGAGCGCAAACGATTTGAAAGAGTGTATGGAGCAGTGCTGTGAGTTATAAAGTCATCTTTTTGGACCGCGAGATAAAATACTGATTTATGGTATCTAGCTGCCAAAGTCTCACCTTTCTGTCAAGGTGTCAACTTCTATGACGATGGTAATCCCACTGACAACTGTGTTTGGGCTTCTATACACCAGAGTCCCCCAACAGCATCAGCGCCTGCCGGAGGTGGCTTCTTGTGTGCTGTCCCTGTTACAAAGAGGACTTAGTAAAAGATATTATCTTGGCTCATAGAAGCTCTTCGGGGAGTGGGGAAGGCTAGGTTGATAGGGACAGTTGGTGTCGTATTTTTGGAGACGAGAGATTAGTATCACTTCAGGCTAGAATTTTAATGACAATTGCTTCGAAGTTGATACACTCATTTTATCATTTTGATTGAAACCATTACAGTAAAACAATTCCGATCGGGCTTTGTCGCCTACGCAAAGGGGTGAGGTGAAAGTTAGATGGATGTCATGAGATCTCGCTTGCAGAGAAAACGTCACCCTAACGGGGAAACCGCCTCATTCCCAACCTTACCTAAATTTCTTCTGCAGGTAGGGATTTTCGGAGAAACGTCAATTTCATGCATATGCATGACTCAAACCGATCACAACAGCCATCTTATGATCGTTCCGATTCTCGCGGAGAGAGGACACTAATGCAATGATTATCCCTCACAGTACGCTCCGCTTCCAAGTTCCGCGTAAGCACCTGCATACGGTAGTTTCATTTCTTAAGTTCAGCTACACATGTATTCTGTACCTTCCAACTTGGGTCACACAGTTGTCACTAGATATACGATATTTTTAGTGTCTCAACCTGTTTCCGAGGATCGCGCCGGATCAGCACGAAGTGCTAAGTATCGGTGCAACAGATGATACATGACATTCTCTGTACAGGTTCACTAGTACACTACCTCATACTTGCACCATACACCTGGTACCACGTATTTTGAATTATTGATTTCAACAACGTGTGCTGCCACAACAGCATCTCAGCTACAATATAACTGCGCCAAAGCAGTATCTAAGACAGAGCAACATATTGCAGCTATTTCAGAATAGTACCAGCTCCATTAGAAAGCCAGTAAAGTGCAGTTTGGCGTAGCTTACAGATGAATCTTATGTCCGGCGAGGTTCTCAAACTGCGATAGGAATGCTTCTGAGGTAAGGATTCGATAGAATCTCCCTACATACTGTGCGAGGGTTTGAATCATGTCAACGATCAAATGTGTCATGCTAGTCATTTCAAGTGAGGAGGCGGTGACACTTCATCACGGCTTTGGTATTCTGGTCCCCGCTCCTTCCTGCAAATTGCAGAAATGGGGGCATGTGCTACATACATATCACAACAAGCAAATTGCGTTGTACCTATAGAACACTAGGAGGAAAGCATACTTCTACATCTCCTTCCCCTTGGTGACCGATTAAACTTTCAGGTTTATTTGGATTCTATCCTCTTTCAACTTCGTCTACTACTTCACGATGAAAACATTCAACCTCTCAATACTTGGTGTTTTTGCCATTGCAAGTTTTGTGGTTGCTCAGCTGGAGTCGCCTGAGGTACATTAGCCCTTTCTATTTCAGACTGTATCGATCTATGCATGTGTGCTACAGCTACAAGATTATCTGACTTTATCCCATTTCAGGATTTTTGCAAGAGAACCGCGGGACCAGATTACGTCCCTAAAAATGATGCAAATGGTATTTTCCAGGGTGAATGCGAAACCTCAGCTATAAGCGGTATGTATCTTCGCCTATTATCTCAAGCTTCATGTATCTAACACTTCAAATACAGTCTGTCTAGGAACTGAGTAAGATTCTAATTCTTTCTTGACTGGGGAACCTACAAGATAGTTTTGTGAGAAAGAATGCGAGAAATTAACACAAGCAACATAGATTTACACATGCTAAGACTGGCGTCACAACTTGCTGTCTCCCACCCAACACTGTCAAGTCTGCTAGTGGGAAACAAGGCTGTTGCCCACCAGGCAAGAATTTCAAATGGGATGGTATGTCTTCCGTTCTCTTATTCAAGCCTCTTTCCCATCTACTGTTTTTTCTATAGTCACAAATCTCACATTTCATCATCAATTCAGGCACGACCCCCTCCTGCGTCACGCCACCACCACCCCCTCCCGCTATCTCTTGTCCAGCTTCCAACATGAAAGTTGTGAATCGCAATGGGCAAAACTTCAGAATCTACTGTCAGCGTTCAGTGATGGTATACACGCATCCTTGGTTAACCACCACTTCTTATGGCATATACAGAGCCATACAGGGCCCTGAACTGATGACTCATAATTTCGAGACTTGTCTACAACTTCTCGCGTCGAATGGGCGATCTAATGGAGCCAATTTCTGGCCTACAATAGGATTGTGCTCTGTAGTTGACACGCCGCCTGGAAATTTCTTTAAGGTTGGAAGTCGATATGATGTACCACCTCCTCCATACAATGGACCACAGATGATGTCCATGGTAGCGGTACCCAAGCGTGCTTATTAGACCAAGCTTGTTGGAGAATTGTTGCTGAAGAATTGTGTTTGACGGTTGGAACAATTTGGACAGACTATAGCTAGTTCAAAAACAATGTTTCCTTTTGTTATCATTGTGTTTGCGTGGGGGTAGAGGGTGGATTGTAGTTTGAAAATGAAACTTCGGTATGCTAGATCAACTTGATAACATGATAATTCTACAATTCAACGTGGTTCAAACCTTGGGGTTAAAGTCCCGTCTTCTATGTGTCATTCGGGAACGATGAACGAGCTAAGCGCTCAAGATGATGTCGAGTTCTCAATCTGAGATATTGCGATTTGTGATACCCAGAGGAAAAGAGCCCGGTAGCGCAGCTCTGAGACTTACATAGTGAGGTACCAAATATTCAGAAGGTAAAGCACAGTAAAATTCTCCCCAATCATACTTCTCCCGTCGTTGATGTTTTATATAACATTACCCGAGAACTTCTATTCCACAGGAATGAATTGCAAAGTTCTACTAAACGGCTGTCAACAGGAGACATCATTTCATCATTATGAGACCCGTTGCTTTATATACACAACTTTGAAACCTTGGTAAAGCCATTTATCCCAAAAGATGGAGGGCAAGCTCTTGTACCTTGTATTGTGATGAAAAATTGCTCTGGTTCGGATATGGAAACTAGATGCCAACATACATGTCAGGTAGGTGCCAGAGCAGCGTCATGGGTTTCATTATCAAAACCTCCTCACAAAGGGGTGCATAGATTCAATACAAACCGTCGTGAATATGTGGCAGAATAACATTGTCCTTGTATCGGCGTGGTTGTGGTAGATTCGGTACTTTGAATCCTAGCTTTATCATGTGATGTCAATCAAAGCTGATAAACTCGCACCTCATCAATTGCTAGTAATAGCCTAAGTAGATCATCACCTTTCCCCCATCTTTTCTCCCCTCTTTTACCATTCTTCAACAACTTCCAAACAATGAACGAGGCCCATCCATCTCCCTGCGAGAATTCACGATAATGATTTCCAATCATAGAAGACACCGTTCTCTTGCGTAACAATGATCAGATATTTATCGTCATGCAATATTCATGGATAGGTTCTCATTTAACGCGCCGGCCAATCACTGCATATCAAACTTTTCTTGTCGGCGCGTAAAGTTACAGCAAGAGACCACAATCTCCAATCGACTGGTCAATACATGATTTTACCATTATGACTTGTAACGACTTGTGGCGATTGTGAGCGAATAAGAAAAGTTTGCTATTTTCGGTATATCAAGTCTGGAATCTAGATTGTAGGTCGTGCTTCATGGCTAATTTGTAGGTCTACTTCATATGGCAAGTATCATCACATCAATCTTGTTTCATTGTGTTTTCATCCCTCTATCTCCTACCTACTCATACATTCGTTTTCTTACGTGTAATTCTATTGTACATTGTCACAGATTCGTTCGCTTCTTATCTTGCTTATTGTCTGTTTGGATTATGAGACGTTCACTTTCGTTTATCATTCTTTGTTATTGTTGAGTCCTCAATAGCCATCGTCCAAAAATTTCCTATTGTCCGAATCTGATTGTTGGCCTTGAAATCCTCAGAATATCTCTTATTTATGACCATGAGGAGGCTGGACCTTAGACATTTCCTTTTTCACGTATAATTAATAGACGTTTCGACCTTCCTCAAATCAAAGAGATTATTTGCAACTATACCACCTAGAGCAAGAACGACCATCGCTGGACAAAAAGCAAGACACTTTACATTATCTACACTTTCAATCCATTTTCACGCCACAATTTTGACAAATTTTGCAACCATTTCGCCATGAATACCAAAAACAAGATCATATCTAAATCTCCTGTTGAGAGACCGCCAGCTCTATCTACGAACAATCCTTCCACAGTACTTACAGAAAATCCTTTTGAAACCATATTCGACGGGAAAAGCGAAGATGATGATTCTTGGAAAGACGAAGATGTATATTCTATCGCTTCATCGGAGGAGCTACAACAGTCGAGACCCTCGGGAAATATCACTACCAGCCGCACAGGAAACATGACGCGCACAGTCAGCCGTAGAGAGAGAAAATCCTCCATATCGAGAGTTATAAGAGAGAAGTCGAAGGGAAGACAGCGCAAGATCCATGCAAATCTCCGCCTTAAAGTCCAAACAACCTTTTCAACACATTATGGACCTCAACCTCAAGCAATATCTTCACAACAGTCTCGATCTAATGGAGTTTTTGTTGATTTGGTCACCCTCAGGAAACTCGAAAATGTTTCTGCTCATCCAAACGGAACTTTGTGGAAATCGTTGGAGAACAGGAAAAGCAAAGCCATTGAAAACTCTGCTGAGGATACTAAGACCGAAGCTCCTGAACCAGTACAGAACGAAACATCAAATGTCTATCCGCTGGCAGAGCGACGGGGATCTTTGAGACCAGCAGCTCTGAAGCTAGAGGATGACTTATCTCCCAACGATCGACCAATTGTTATCGGCATATCGATCCCATCTGCACGTTTAGCTCATCATGTGACCACCCCGCAAACATCAACTTCAATCGCTTCGACAATGATGGGAAGTTACGGGCACGAGACACCGACAGGGAAAGAATTGGTAACGCCATCTATCATAATTACGCCTGCCCATGAGATCTCTGCATGGTCGCCGTACAGTACTGCTTCGAATGTTTCACGAGCACGAACTCTATCAACATCCTTTTCAGTAGCTAGCCCCAATGACCCATTCAAAGAGGGGGCACCACCATTGCCGAAAATGCCAGCAGCTTTAGCCGAAGAGGAGAAGCGAAGAGTAGCCGCCCAGCATAGTTACTTCTCTCCAGACTCGGATGCCACTACTGAATGGGATGACGAGCCAGATTCAACCCGAGTTCTATCGTCTTGTATTATCTATGAAGAGGATGAGCATCCAATTGTTGTGCGAAGTGCCCGTGCAGTCAATGTTCCAGATAAACTGAAAGTGAGCAACCATGAAAGTATTGACACCATTGCTGCACGGACTCGCTCTGGATGGTGGAATTATATCACTTCGCCATTTATGACGCGGTCAAACACAATAGTATATCCAGAGAAGAAGATTTCGGATATCCCCGAAGTACCTGTTTTAACAATTGCAGCAGCCAAAGCTCAGGAATCAAAGGTGGAGCGAAAGTCGTGGGAACAGCTTTTTTCTCCTCTTTCTATTAAAAGATCAAACTCCAATGCATCCGATGCTTGGTGGGATGTGACTCCCTTAGGTTTCAGATCAGAGAAACAGGTTTCCCCTGGTCTAGTCTACAAAGAGACGAGACATCTGGTGAAGCCGTCGATAGCTACTTTACCCTTTGTTCGTTCAGCCTCTGGCGATGTGGGAGATGTGTCATTGGCTAGCGCCATTGATGTGACTACCACTGCGGATTCTGTGCATTTTGCAAATTCTACAATGTCTCATGACCATTCGGGTATTTCGAGTTCATCGCAAAGAGAGTCTATTTTGGTCAACAAAGATAATTCGTTGTTATCTTCAAACGATAGTACAAAAGAACTTGGAAGCAATAATCCCTTTATTCAGTACCAAAATAGTAACATTGATCGTTATAACGACTCGAGAATGATTAAAGACGCGGACTTGAATGATCCAGGGTTGAAATCGAGAACACTTGTTGTGAATAACGCTACCCAACCACCACCGCCGCCACCTTACACTGAATCACCAAAGAAAGTCAGAAAATATCGAGCCTTTTTTCCTTCCTCACACGAATCAGCACCTGCGCCAGCACAAGCACCAGAACCAGCGGTGATTCAAGCTTCGGCAGCAGCTTCGACCTTGCAATATCCTGCTTCCCCCGGTCCCATATCCCCAGAAAGCGAACGAAAGATGGCTTCACAAGCCTCTATTCAGCTGTCTGAGGTTCCATTGAGTCCTGCGCGTGGTAGAACCAATCAGAGCACTGCATACCCTGGGCCTGCTAGGCAGACAACACCAACAATTTTGATTATGACTGAAGAATACCTTGAGCAAATGGCAGATAAAGCAGCTTTCAAAGCGGCCAAAAAATCAGAATCGAAACGTCAAAGAAACGAAAATGAAGATAGCATGGCTAGCAAATTAGGTGGATTGTTCAAGAAATGTATACCTAAAAAGGGTAGGCAAGGCCCCGAAGGTCGAAAAAGACGAAGATGGTATTGCTGCGGAACCATTGCATTGATTGTGTTGATCATCACGATTGTAGCACTTGCTGCGACGCTGACTCGCAAACCAAAACACGTTGTGCTGCCATCTCAATGGTTGAATCTCACTGGCTTCCCTCCTATTTACGCTGGGCTCTCGACGGTAGCAGCTCCGGTGAATATTGTGACGAATACCGGTTGCGTATTCCCAGCTACGCAATGGAGTTGTGCTTTACCAAAAGAGCAACAAGCTTCTGTCGCACCAAATCTACCAAATCAGCCCAATTTCTTTTTGGAAATCCAATGGGACAATAGCAGTGCAGCAAATGCAACCTTTGCAAATGTCACAGGAAACAAAAATCTCCCTACACGCAGTCTTGTCGGTAATCCCGTCTCTGCTGGGAAATTCATCAGAGATTTGATATTGAGAGCACGTCAAACCGTTACTTTCAATCCCTCGCCTTCACCGCCATCATATGCTGAAGAAGCGTTTTTGGGAGATACCACAGATGGGATAGTTTCATCCAATAAAGCTGGAGAATCAACACCTTTCTATATATCTTTCTTATCCACTACAAACACTACCTTAACAACCAACAGCCGTGTGAAGCGTGCAGATTCAAATAATACCGATCCAGATCTCTTCCCGAATATCACAACTGGAATCCCGGCCCCAAGTCTGAATCCTGATGGCACTGCAGCTCCAGCCAACCTTCTTCCATACCCCATTCAACAGCCAATTCGTTTATATGATCGAGGACTTCCTAGTGAGCATTATGGATTCTATACTTACTTCAATCGTACTATCTTCCTCAAATCTCTCTCATTACTCAACGATACCAATACTTCCAACGGTGAAGTTCCTGATGATCAGAATGGCGGGGCTCTTGAAGGGGAAGCCAATTTCCGTTGCACATGGGGTGAAACTCGTTTCTTAGTACAGATGTGGACCAGAATGAATGGAACTGCCAGACTCAACAATGCTACTAGTTCTACTGGCGCCTCTACTGTTATTGCAGGGCAAGATTTCTCGCAGCCTGGATCATTTCCTTATCCGATCACTATTACCACCGATCGACATGGAGGAGATCCTAGTAGAAAGCTGTTGTATTGTTATAGTATGAATGATAGAGAAGGGATTATATCGACCAGTGGAGTGGTCAATGGAGAGAATAGAGCATTTGGAGGCAAGATTATCAATCCAGCTCCGAGCGTTTTCTTGAATACTAGTGATCCATCGCTTGGAGGCTTTGATGGAGGGACAGGGGGCTGTTCTTGTGCTTGGAGTAACTTTCAGGAGGTCATCAGTACTTCAAGAACGTGAAGAAAGAGAAGAAAATGATGGCGCATTTTTATGATATTATGGACATAGGCATAGGAAAAACAGGGAAAAGGAAAGGAAAGAAGACACAATTTAGTGGCATGGGTTACGAATATTGAATAACTACTACATTACAGATGCAGAGTAGATAATAGATCAGAATAAGTTAGGAATTATGCAGGAATACTCCTACAATTAATATATGTATCAATTGCCAAATATGAACAGCCGCATCAGACATTCATTACCTATGATAGTTGAAATGATACGATTGTGAAAATATATAGATTGTGATCCCTGTCGATTCGGGTCGGCGAGTATCGATCAAATTCCGATGAAGCTCTCTTGTGATTGTCAACAATTGGATCTCATCTCAACCCTTCATTACACAAACTACAGCCATTCCTTGATCTCGATCTACCTACAATATCTTCAGCTTATAATATACCCTCTCACCATCTTTAAGTTTCTTTCTTCTTCATATCTCACTCTGCCTTTCTTTATCCTTTACTATCTGCACAGCAAGCGATCTTGCCGCCTGGATTTATTTATTGATAACGACTGGCGATTGTCATTTGCGATTCGAGAATCTTCGAGGGATTGTATAAAGACTCGAGCGAAGCAGAGTTTGAGGTTCGAGGAGAGCAACAATATGCCTTCGATAGCACAAGAAGATTGGGATATCACATCTATGGATTTCCACATGAGTACAAATGGAGCTGTGAATCTGTTGAAGAGACGGAGGGATGTTGCGAATTTTGCGGATGTGAGGGAGGAGGAGGTGCAGATGAAGATTAATAGGTATGTGCTACTTATTTGTGTATTGAGTTTGGGTCGTTCTTTGAATCTCTAAAAGACCAAATGCAATAGAAAGAGGGGAGTTGTGAGCCGTTAGCTGACCATTGAAATAGTCCTAGACATTCACACATTCATCCACATCCACATCCACACAATCTCTACCCACACGCCATGCACCACGAATCTGAACGCAGACACCTAATTCCCCGGTCAAAAATGAGTCTGAACAAACGGGTGCGAGTCGAATATCCACCCTCAGAACCTGAGCCCAGGATCGAACAAACGAAAGAGAAAGAGAAAAGTGGATCTGGGATGGATTTACGAGCTTGTCATATATGTCGACGCAAACCGACTGTGAAGAAGGAATTGGATGCGTTTGCGAATTGTGAAGGGTGCGGGAAGAGAGCTTGTTGGGTGTGTATCAGGGAGTGTCTTGGAGGGTGGGGGAACACGGAGATGGGAGAAGAAGTTGGAGGGAAGGAGGGCTGGGGAGAGAAGGGAATGAAGCACAGAGGGATGGTTTGTAGCAGGTGCTGTGTGGAGAGAGGAACTGAGGGAGAGGTACTTTGTTTGGGATGCTTGAGGATGGAAGGGAGCTGAAACTTTTGTTCGCATGGGAAAATATTTATTGGGATTTGGTACTGCCGGGAGGGAAATAGGGCGCATTATGGAAATTCAAGCAAGTTTGCGGTGCGGGTAAGCTCCAGATTCGATTTATCGAGGGGTAAACTCGAGGTAGGATTGTCCGTTTCGATGGGAATGATTCGATGGAATGAGCGATGCGATCGATACCCATTTTGATCTGGAGTCGGAAGGTTGGCAATCTTGCAATGATAATGATTTGCATATAATATGGGTTATCTGGGCTTTTTTCTGTACTTTATCACATACATATATCATGAGCATTGATATGTTTTTTTTTTTTTGCTATTTGTTGTACCATCTTATGCGCGTGAATACTGCATGAGTTTTAATAGTTGTATAACTACCTATGTATAAGAGATAGAGTGTTCAAATTCCGGGTGAGAAGGGTGTGAGGTATGTTTTCACTGCAAAATGTTGTCGCTATTGTCTCTATTCAAAGTGGCTTGAAAAGGGTTCAGGGAGTGATCATACTCAGTTCGTCTAGATGATATCAGATGGGATTGATCATAATGAAGGAACTTAGCGATGTGTAGTGGCCATAGTGAAATAATAATTCTTGCAGCGTTGATGGTCATGGCACCTCTATGAACTGGTTCAGCATCTGAGGAATATTCTTTGTGAAGACATCAGATAATATATATCTTCATGCTATTCACTTTCCTCTATATTGATGGGGGTGTAGGCATATGGTATTAGATTTCAATGGAGCAGAATTTTGATATATGAGAATGCCTGAAGGTGTAGTGACTGGGAAGATGGATATCTATTACATTCAAGAGAGCCATCCATGACCAGACACTAATTGTCATCCCAATGCCAAGCCCGAGCATATTTGGACATATCGAGCATTTTCAGTTTCACAGCTTCCATGACGCTCTTCCAATGTTTATTTTCTCTCCGTATACATACATGCATATTCCGGGTATCCAAATCAAAACGCCTTATGCTATTTCTCTTACAGCTTTAAGCAATCCACCGATGCGCCGTTCTTGTATGCAAGAAGCTAATCCTTAGCCAGTCTAACAAGTTGAATGTGTAAAAAGAATCTTGTACTTTTGTCTCCCAACGCCTTCGTACTTGACGAAATAGCCGTTTAAACACCCTCTCCGTTGTTTCTTCCCCATAACTTCACCGTTCTATCATATCCTCCACTAACGATCCATTTGCCATCTGCACCTACGTCACAACTATGCACATTTCCTGTATGTCCACTCAAACTTTGTACCAGCGCCCAATCGTCTGCCGAAAAGATTTTAACGTCCTTATCAAAACCACTGGAGACAAAGAATGTTCCCGCTTTCCTTGGTTTCCCTACTCCCTTTTCATCTTTCTCGGGCAACGATTCTGCATCCATGCCTTTGAACCATCTCAAATCAGAAACTACACTACGATGTGCACCCACGGCACCGGTACTGGCGACTTTCCTCACATCCCAGCATTTGACCCAACCGTCACCAGATCCAGATAGAACACGATGGCCATCGGTAGACCAGTCGAGCGCGTAGATGGGTTTGATATGTCCATCTAAGATCATAACTGTACGACCTGTTCGGAGATCCCAGATACGTCCAATACTATCCATTCCTGCGCTTGCTAGAAGTGATCCATCGCCGTTGAAACTGAGACAGAAAACACCTCTTGAATGTCCTTCTTGAAGTAAAAGTTCCGTAGTGGTTTCGACGTCCCATAGTCTCCATGTCGTGTCCTCGGATGCAGATGCAACATATTTCCCCGATGGGTGGAATTCCACTCGGCAAACTCTCTGATTGTGTCCCGCAAGTGTTGAAACAGGTGTATCTTGCTCCAGATTCCATAAATGGACTTTTCCTTCTGCTCCTCCTGATGCCAAGTTAACGCTTCCGGGGGAAACATTCGATCCTTCTATCGTGGCACCTGGTGCCCAAGAAACTCCGCCCACCCTATCTGTATGGCCCCTTAGTGACTTTTTAATCTCTAGATCCGGTATTCCAAGTAGCTTGATTCCACCTCCCCAATTGCCAGCCGCGACCAATTCTCCATTTGGCGAAATTCTCACAATACTAACTGGTCTCTCGGCCGCCATTTGACTACCCTGGAGCTCGAAGTCCCTGAGTTTCTCCTTCACTCCTTGTCTGAACTTAATATGAGTCCTCAATGGAATGTCCTTCTCGATCTTCTGAATCTCCATCCTCTTCTTCGCCCTCGGCAACGAAAACTTCGCAATCTCTATCCTCGCATCTAGTAACTCCTTCGTCCCCCTAGTATAGAATTCTTCTTCGGCTTCCTCATCCTTGCCCCCTTCCCCCATCTCCACGTCACCATCTTCATCCGCACCATCTTCTTCCGCCTTCATCTCACTCTCAATCGTCAACAGCTGTCGTAATCGATCTCTTCTATCACCTGGTCCTTCCCCAAATAATGTGATAGGCTCGCCCATTTCTCTAAGTCGTGCGCGCACGCGTCCATCATCGGTGGGGACCGCTATAGCGGCTGCGCGACGTTTGCGATCGAATTGAGAAAGAATTGCGCTGGCACGTTCGGGAGCAATGCCAGCGGTTGCGGATGGCATATCATAGTCGCGGTCGAGAGGGACATCTGCAAGATCTATACCTGTATCCTACGTGAAGAGGAATGAAAATTAGCTTCTGTTTGTGAAGGTGTATTTGTTCATCTTTCTGATGTTCGTTTGTATGCACGAGTGTAGGTTGGAGGGGTATGACTTACTTCTTTGGCCTCCTCCACGTAAGCTTGTCTGGACGGATGCATTATGATAACTCCCGAGAAATTCTACAAGCTGCAACCGGCGAAGTATCTATAATTCGAATGAGTGTGGTTGGCGTGAGGTGAAGTAAAGATTGTTGTTTACTTCGTACACACAGGGAAAATAAATACTGGAGTGAAGCTTTACGGTCAAGGATCCAGTGATGTTTATTAGTGACGATCTTCGCTAAATATTTGATGCTTGAAGGCCTAGAGCTTGGATCACAGTCTAATTCTACCCTGTACATTTCTGCTCTGTGCCTTTTTGGATGGAAAAGCTTGGCACCTCCATGAACATGGAGGAAGAAAATCATACATGTTAGATTGTTTACATACCTAATCATCTATTTCTTGTTCTTTCTAGTTTGGCGAGTAATAGTATTGATCTGTATTTAGGTTTTCATAATCACATATCACGGAATATCACGAGGGAATAATTACTGGGTAAATGGCATTGTGTTGATAGTGGTATATATATTCTACCATGCATGTATATAAAACAGGAATCCTCCAATTTCAATAGGTATCTTAGGTAAACCATTTATCAATCCCACGGGTACTTCTAAGCCAAAACGCCCTTACGCCTCATACATGTGATTGCCAAAACTGCCAAAGGTGCAAATGAAATTGTGGTATTTCCTTGCTAAACGCCAGAGAATCTATCGATGCGAGCTAAAGTACATGGTATATTCATGAAAACAAAGTGTGAAGTGTAGAAGGGACAAGTATCAAAGTGTTAAAGTGAAAAAGTGAAGAAGTAAAAAGAAAGAAGATATTGAATTAGAAAAAGAGCATCCTCGAGATATCAATTCATCTATGACCGGGATGTCATAGGAGTGATTTCCTCCTTGGCAGCTTAGCTTGAGAAGACCTTGATTGAGTTGATGATCCAGTAAGCATTGTTAAATGCAGTTGGATTAGAAGAAACATAAGCATTGCAGGTGGCAGCTTTAGTGCTAGCTGCGCAGCCACCACTTGACCAAACTTGCCCAGCCCAATCTCCGCAGAACGTGGTGTCGAGGATAATGTTGTGTGATTTGAAGTGACTGTCGATGTTGCAACCACTGCCAGAGAATTTGGCAATCGGCGTTCCCCAAGCGGCGGGATCTGGCTTACCAGATTGAATATTTGCTGGAATAGCTGTACGGGAGAAGAAGTAGATGGCAATGTAGGATGATGTCCATTCCCAAGCATAGACCCCACCTCCTGCTGCGTTAAAGGCTGGACCATAGGTTGCTGTGTTTTTAACTGTCTGGCCACAACCTGTATTTCCGCCTCCTGCGTTGCAGTCTGAACCAACAAGAGTTGTTCCAGCATCAGATCCGCTATTGCTCATGACACACCCTTGCGAGGTATGAAGAGTCATTTGATTTGTCGTTCCAGCATTGACTCCTTCGATCACGTCGATTTCTCCATTTGCAGGCCACGAGGGCCCGAAGCTCCATAGAGCAGGCCAAGTTCCGCATCCTTCTGGCATATGGGCAACATCAGCGATGAATAGTCCATGTGTGTATGCCTTTTTCGAGCTAACACGAGTTGAAGCCCTTCCGGTAGTTCCTGAGAGTGAGGTAGTGTGATCTACTCCGAGATAAACAGAATTGACACCAGCGTTGTTGGTATACCCAGCAAGTGCAGTTTTGTTGGCAGCAGAAGCGCTCTGATATGTGACCAGACCGTTGGTTGGGTCAGCGCCAGAAAAGAAGCTGAACTCCGAGAAAAAGTTCGTGTGGTCATATGAATCGGCAAGAGTATATGCGGCATTCACGCTGCCGGCAGCGAGAAGCAACGCAGCACCGATGCGACTGAAGACTTGAGTTGAAGGCATAATTGTAGTTGTAAAGATTGAATGTACTTCGTTTGGTTGTTCCAAAAATCTTGAAAGATCAAATTTGTGGAATTGTGAATGAAAGTATTGAAGTTGTTTGTAGAATATCTGAATGTGGTTTCTGGGAATGCTTCTGACTCAAACAGATATCACGAATTATAACTAAACCCCTTGGATTTATATTGCAATTGTTCTTGTTTTGTTTTATTGTGAAGCACAAAGACAATAGCTCCTGTCGTTTATTGTGACTCGACAATGACTGTATAAAGCAGGGTCGCTGATCAACAAAGTCTTTAGTGAATAGATGGAAATTATCACACAATTGACAAAGGTGAGATAAGGAATATAAGAACAAAGATGACAGAAATAGAACAAAAATACACCGCGTAAGGAGTGACGGTGATATTGAAAATTTGAAATTGACAAAGCGACGTGAAAGCTCTCCGACTGAAGAAAGAGGGTAAGAGATATTATAAGAAAAGCACGTATATGAAGGATTCTCCTCCTATGTCTCTAAAGCTCTTTGTCCCAAACAGTCCAGCTCTTTCATGGCGTTTCCGTAGATAGTCAATGCCCTGTAGACTTCATAGCAGGGGGTAAGCTTCGAGAACTAGGTGGTCAATGTACCAGGCCATCCTGGAAATTTATAGGAGCAGAGAGGGGTAGAATGTAGTGGTGTGAGCGAAAAAGACATGTGTGTGCGAGTGAGAAACAGATGGAGGATTCAGTGGACGATGAAGATTGGCATGGAACACACTCGATGGACCACTCTCATAGCGAGCAAGATTCCCTCTCCCCAGGTAAACCAGGATCCGCTGGGATGATTTGATCTGAAGTGTGGGATTTAGCTCAAGATTCGAGAAACATTGTTGCGACAGGGGAATGGGGAGATGCATGGCGCAGCCAGTAAGGACTCTTTATTCATGTCAAAAATCGGATGCTTGACAAGAGTGTTTGAGGTTGTGATGGTTCCTGAAGGAGTAGACCAATTAAACTTTGTAAGCTGCCAAGATATTTTCTGGTCGGGATTAAGCGAAACTTTTAATCGTGCTCGGATTGCTTAAGGAAAATCAAATATATGCAAGGCTAAGAGTGGAATGATCACCAACAAAAAGATGCTGCAAGAGAGTATTGTTCCCATGTACATCTTATCGCGAATATGGAAGTTTACTATAGAAAAGGGGGGGTCGTCGAACATGTGAGTGATTTGTGATCATTCGATCTACATATATGACTCGGTGTAAATTCGTATGTCTACTCAGGATCTATGATTCTATTCCTCCCTCAATTCTTTCCTAGGCAAAAGAATATATCGACTTGCTCTCATGTAGGGAATGAACGACGGGAAAAACTACCGAAGAAGTTATACTTCCAGGATCCTTCCCTTCATCCCGTTCTTCATGCTCCAATCAGACTCTCAAGGTACCAGACATCCAAACATCCAAGGAAAACGTCACGTTCTTCTGAAACACCAAGATCTGATGGAAACATCAAAGATCAAACATTTCGGATTTGCCCTTGATATTTTCATCTGGTGTTTACCACGTAAGCCTATCCCTCAACGCCAACAGATTCGCATCTACTACACGAGTCGTTTTTGTGTTTGCTCATGTATTTCTTGCATGTAGATGAGCCCCCACTATAGATGCATGAAACCTGATATCCATCGATGAGACCCAGAAGATCTTGTCAACCACCACACAAACAAAACACCGTGCGCACCCTCTATCTATCTATCTATCCATGTCACCCTATCAACCTAGTAGACAATTGCCTCATAGAACGTCCACGAGTTTATACTGTCAACTACCCAACCTAACTACCTCCTCCTTTTTGCCAATAACGCGTAGTACTTCACATACATAAAACATCAAACATCCTCACCATCTGAGCTCGACAAATCGTACATTCACATCCTTCCCGTTCCGTCTCCCTATGTGTATCACAGCTCATCAAATTATATGGGAAGTACCATTTCTACGTGTTTTCTCCACACTTTAGACGTTTATTACCATACAAGGCAGGTCAAGGAACTCTCTTACCATCAAATTGGGGCTTGCTCACACTGCGGCCCAATACTGTTATGCTGTATAGATCAATCTCCTAGACATCCATTCCTTTGCAACTTGCCATGCACCCTTCAATTTTCCCGGAATCATTTAAGTCATCATAATTTCCCAGAAACATCAGCATCATCAATATCGTCACATCGCCGCTACGTATCATAAGGTCAGTGTAACCTTATGATGTAGTACAGGATTTACGCTATTCATAGCACGTCTTCGCCTCTTTCGAAGCTTGTCGTAAGCACCTGAGTTAGAGATATCCGGGGTTCAGTAGAATTAATTAATCCTTCACTGTCATACATAATTTACGGTGTTTGTTCATCGCAAATTTCTCACCGTAAGTTAAGGAATGGAATTCTATGAGTCTATGGAGGCTCATCCTCATCTCCGTGAATTCAAATCAAACTCATCCTTTTCGGCTGGGAGATTCAGAGAATGCATTTACCTATTTGACAAGTACCCATCTACATCACGACCAGAATCAGTAGCTACATTTGTACAACGTACAAATTATAGTTCGACAGATTTCTGTTTGTCTCAGAAATTCCAAGCCTCCAACTCCCGATCATTAACGTTGCATACCCTCGGCATGGTACGGTGCACAGCGTCGTTTTCCAACAAGCAGCAAACTTCAATAATACCTCGCCTCCTGTGCCTCATCCGAAACACCCATTTTGGAAGCAATGTAATCTTACATTTTTAACTCGGTAATCGGCAATCATCAATACTTTTTACATTCTATATTGTTCGTTCATCAGAGGCTCGATTGGTATTGTATGCAATTGCTTATTGCAATGTTTCCATCTTACCTAGTTCATCTCTATATGCTCTCAGCCACATATCAGGATCCTCGTACCATCCGTCAATATTATCAAATCATCATTATTTGGATGAACCAACCCCAAAATGCATACTTGGACACCAATTTGCTGCATGGGTCATAGTGCTCAAGCTACCTAGGCTTACTTCCCCCGTTCTACAAAATATCATGACAAATTTATAGTTGAAGTCCAGCAAAGAAATTTTCATCACTATCAAGTTCAAATAACCCCGAGAAGACAAGTAATCCAACACCGTTTAAATATATGGAAACAGAAAGCTCTTGACATCGTCTATCATCACAGAGTCTCGCCTAGCAACACCTATTTCCACACTCTCAGTCCCACGCTCTTTTCTTTCTGATTCCAGATTCTCTTCTGACGCTGTTTCTGTATTCTGTTGTCTTAATATCTTCTTATTCTCTACCCTCCACTTCTATGCCCACCGCATCTCCCATCTACCTTAACACCATACACGCCGCATAGGTTCCTACAAAGATAGAGAAAAGCCAGCCTAGTCCAAGATCTAGGAGCTTAGTGGTTAATTGCTTGCTTGTGAGCTATAGGCAAGAGATGGGTTTGGTGTACAAATACTTACTCTTAATCGGAATTCCCACTACAGCTAGTCCTGCGGCCGCAAAGAAATACCTTACCATGAAGACAGCGGCTAGCGCTTTGAAGGATTCTTGTGGGTTGAGGTCAATGTTGAGAACTAAGCAGGTCTGTGGAGATGCTGGCCATGATCATTTTATGTGCAAACCTTTGCGTAAGTGAGTGCTGGAGTTGAACACACAACAAAAATTATTGTCGTCATTGCTCCGATAAATATTTGACATGTTATGGGGCCGAGGCGTGCTGTGACCAACGAAAGCCTAGTAACTATTCTCTCAAGGAGTTTTTTGGCTTATAAATTATCTCAATGTCTTCACTATTGTCAGCAATTCAAGTATCACTTCATTCATTAGCGGAGAGAATGAGAAACCCATACTCAATGCCCCTCTAAACTCAATTCATATCCAAGAATCCCCATCAGATACCCCAATCATTGCGCACATGGTCTTGAGTCTTGCTTTCTCGATCGGATACTTGATCAACTCTAGTGCTGGAATACTATGAGGAAAATTGTAGATGCGGGATGCTATGTCGTAATTATGTGCCTTAATTCTAATTACAGGAATAAACAAGGCCAGTAAAGTCTCAAGTTGATTAATAGGGTAACTGGAGGAGAATAATGGAAGTCTGTATGGGAGATGGACACAAACCAAGGACAAAGGTGCAATTGCAGAACCCAATGCGAAGGGTATGTATACCAAGCGTGCCTGTATCTGACTGAATTCATACACTTCTATGAAAGAGTTCGATATAGATCCTTGTATATAGGCAAAGGCCATAAACTGAATGCTGTTGAATGTGGTGACTGAAAACGAATTTATGTTGTCCAGTTTTCTGATATGTATTGGATTGGGGAGCCGAGAAGGCAATGAAGGTTGAAAGTCAATAGAAAGCAATTTTAGTTTGGTAGAAGGAGTCCTTGATGTCTGAAGATTGTTTAGAATTCAAAAAGGAAGAAATGAACTAGAACGAGACAGAAGAAGGCGGGGACTCTGAGAGTGTAAAACATGTAATACCAACCAAGCTTCTGGGACACGATAGCTGCAATAATAGAGTCAAGGTCTGGACATGTAGCTGGATTTGAAAAAGTCAGTAAACTGAGTGGATTGTGAAGAGTAGGTAGTGTAGACCTTACCCAAAAGTGATAATCCCAAGATAGTTACCTATCTGAGTTTTGGTTGCTTTCTGAACGATCATTGCTAGACCAAAGAGTGCACAAGTTATTCTCTCAGCAACAACCGAGCCAAAGAAAAATTCAGTAGTCATACCTGAAGAAGCCATACTTTGGAACGTTCTCAATATTAACATCAATATATATCTAGACTGCGAAGCCAAAGATACGTTGGCAAGTAGATAGATATTTATAGTAAAAAGATAAACTGGCCATCTTTCAATTCTATCGGCAAGGTCCAAGAAGATTGCTGCACTGCGTCCAGATGTACCCATACAGTCTGATATGGCGAGATACAAAAACTCGATGTTGACTTGCAACTGCTTGGCTATTTGATTTATAGAAGGGCAGCAAACAAAAGCGCTTAAAGGAGAAGGAATTGCCATGAGTCCTATCCAGAAAAACAATAGCTCATCTTTGTAGCTGATTGAATCTCTCTGCCGGCTGATATGGCTGACTAACATCCACCTGGGTAAAGAAAACCTGACGATGCATCGGTGAGTTTGGAATTGAATGGAAGTTCCTCCAAAAACTTGGATATATCTCGCACTGTACTAGTAGATAAGGAAGATTGAGCAGAGAACAGCAGTGAGATATAGACTGATTTTGTATATTGAAGGATTGGACAAGACATGATTACTGTAACAATGGAGCAAATACACAAGAAACATTTACATGCATCTTTGAATCCTGCATATCTACAGCACCCACCGAAAACCTGTAAAGCGCTTCGAAAGACAGATCCAAAAGTTGGCCATGGAATGCTACACGCTGCTGAATACTTTTTCTTGGAGTATGTATTTCCCGTCATCCAGGTGACTATAAGAACATCTTGTAAGATCTAGATGGCAAATGCTGAGCTGCAACGATATCGTTCATCATGCAGTGGTGAATAGGAGCCTCGAAAAGAAAATCACAATATCAACGAATTGGCTGGGCCGAGTGGTAGAATTATTACTGCCCAGTGAGAGATTGTAATCGGGTGTAAGAATCAAACATCATCAAACCGCCGGCTATACGATCTTAGATCATGCTGAAGTACTCACTCCAGCCTCACATGATAAACCTGGGAACACAACATCCCTATACCCCGAACTAGCCTACCGTAAGCAACCTTTCGGCGTTTGAAGAGCTGTGGGCATGCAAGATCAATTGAATAACTTGTATAGACTCGTTGTTTCCAGACAGATTCATTCCTTACAATCACTCGGATCGATTGCCACATGGGCTATTTGATGTCCTGCTCAGGAAGTCTTCGAAAGGTGAATGAAACCCACCAACACTGGCACAACTGTAGTAGCCGAGAGGCTCAGTTGTAGCCAAGCAGTGACATTGGTGTCTACATAAGCGAATGAAATTCCGATCAAGTACCTACTCATCCTCATACTTCAACGTCGTCAAGAACTGAAGTCTTAAATAGAAGTATCTTCGAAAGACAGACCAGGAAAACACAATATGGATTACGAAATGTAACCTCCCTCTCCAGTGATCAAAAAACAGGCCGAAATTGAGAATTCTAGAAGAGTATTCATAGACCATTTATTGATTTTACTTCCAGTATAAAATACGAGTTGATACATGGTCTAAAACGATTGAAACCTGTATTTTCGGGTTATTTTCATGAAAACCATAGTTTGATTTGTTGTTGGTTTATGATTCTAATTAATCGGTGACATGGTGGTACACTGACAGTAGATTATTATGAGATTAGTAATAATTTTGCTCTAGCTGATCCAAGGAAGGTAGCTTTGCAACCGAGTATTTAGAGTTTTCTACCTCCCCTGTCTCTCAATCATTTGTTGAAAGGAGGCAGTGAATCAAATTAGACTTGTTCTTTCTAATTTCTATTATAAGAAGGTAATAAATACAAGGTAAGCGCAGTCAAAGACCTCCATAAATGGAGGCGTTGACTTCTTTCTCTACTGTTTCCGGTTCCTTAAATTTGCTGCGCAAACGTTTCCGGCGCGTCGCCATATCACTTTGTTGGTGACTATTGTACCTCTACCAACTTCTCTTCAACCATTCATTAGACAGGTATTGCTTTGATACATCAGTTGCAATTCCCTGAACGTGAGAGGATGAATGATCAGCATCATTCAATATTTAGGGGATCATGGTAGCTCTCATGAGAAGAACTCCTGGTGCTTTGCTTCGAAAATTGTTGCCTTTGTTGCCGTGTATTGCAATTCTGTTAGTCTTGAATTTATTCTTCTACAGCAGTTCGGGCATATCACAACTTGGGTTCTCTTCTAAGATAATCAACTCACGTCACAATATATGTGAAGCGCAAGGTTGGCGTCAATATCAACCTGAAAGACCCCGAAAGGTCTATGATCTATTCATGCTGAGCTCAGAGCTCGACTGGCTCGAAATTCGTCTCCACACTCTTGTAGACCATGTCGATTACTTTGTTCTAGTTGAATCTAATATGACTTTCACCGGGCATTCCAAACCTCTTCTATTTCTCGACAACCAGTCACGTTTTTCTCAATTTTCTCCGAAAATAATTTATCATCTCCTTGAGAACCGGCCCTTGACTTCTCGACGGACATGGGACTATGAAGATCATCAACGCAATGCCATGTTCACGCAAGTGATACCAAGGCTCAACGGCACCAAAACCGCGAACATTGGAGATGTACTCCTTGTTTCGGACATTGATGAGATCCCACGTCCCGAGACTCTTGACCTCCTACGAGCTTGTGATTTTGACAAGCGGCTCACACTTAGCAGTCGCTTCTACTACTACGGTTTCCAGTTTCTGCATAGAGGTCCCGAGTGGCCTCATCCTCAAGCAACAATCTACGCCGGTCCCACAAAAACCATTCTTCCAGCCGACCTGAGAAATGGAGAAGGTGGTTTCAGGCTCTTTAACTATTTTCAAAAGAGAAATCTAGCAAACGCGTCTTGGCATTGTTCGAGTTGCTTTTCAACGATTGCGGAGACATTGAATAAAATGGCAAGCTTTTCGCACACAACTTTGAACCGGGAGGTATATAGGAGTGAAGCCAGAATAGTGGATAGAGTCAGGAAGGGTTTGGATTTATGGGATAGGGAGGGCGAGGATTATGAGATATTGATGGAGAATACTGATATTCCAGGATGGGTAGGTAACAATAGTGAAAAATTCGGATATCTATTGAGAAGGGAGGGCGAAAATGCTGGGTTTGTGGACTACGTGGCTGACGGTGGTGATGGAATGGCATACTGATCATCCGACGGGAATAAATAAACCTTGTGCACAATGGAGAGGAATGCACTGTAGAAAAAAATTCAAATATCACAAAATTTACATGTTCTCTTACCCATCTCCCAAAATTGTGGAAAAGTTCAGATTGGAAGCGATAGTGAGGCATCTGTATGTAAACCATCCCTCTATAAATCATTATACGCTGCGTAGCATTCTACAATCTAAATGACCGTTTGAGGATGTCGGCCACCCGCCTGTTTCCATGCAAGAGGTATCTACACAATGCCAGCCCCTCCCCAACCTTCTAATTGTCCTCTCTCGTATTGTACCGCCATCATATCATACAAAAGTTGTTTCTGAAAATACAGTTTCCGTCTCTTGTCATCTTGATCTTGCGCTTATTTCCCCTCCTCTGCGACCACCACTACAACAACACAAATATCGTCTGACTTCCCACCACTCCATTTCTCATCTGGATATCTCCTCTGGACCTCCCTTGCAAATGGACCATCCCTCCTCAAACTAAGACTTGCCGCCTTAGCTTCCCCAGTAATATCTACGGCCAAAGAACTCTGCAAACTCAAACTTGCTGACCCGTCATCGCTCTCTTCTAATGTCTCTCTAAGCTTTTCTCCCACCCCAGTCCCCTTGCCCCCTGCCCCATTGACCCAAACTCCGTTATACTGCATTCTGTTGCTCACAATCCTCAGTACATCCCCTCCACTTAGGTTATCCCAAACCCCATCACTAGCAAACACAACCACATCTCCATGCTTCAACTCCTTACTCATGACTTCTGCATCCCTTGGCAAATCCATCAATTGTTGTCCCCCGAATTTCGCCGCCTGTCTTATCACCGCCTCGGGCACCAAGCTTAATTGATACGGTGTATTAAAAGCATGCGTTTGAAATTCAGACGCCGAATGCACAGCTCCCGATCTCAATTGTATGTATCCGCTGTCTCCCAAATTCGCTACTTCCATATTTCCCCCCGAGTTGAAAATCCCCACAACAGCCGTACTTCCCCCCGCACGCACTTTGCCTGAAGCACAAATTAAATCGTAGCCCTTTTGCAACAGCCTTCTCGCAGAAATAGGAGCTTCATCTATATTATTGGACACCGATGCCGTGTGCGCCATGTACTCGCATAGACCGTGGGAGAAATCGCTAGGATCGACACCTGAATCAATCCATCCCCCTACCCCATCTGCGACTCCGAGAGCGATATCTGAGGTATTAGATATGGGCGCCACGAAAAATGCATCTTGGCCAGAGGCAGGCCTGCGGTTGGCGGGCTTGAGAGGTACGGGGATAGGATTGTAGGAATTGAAGGGTGTGAGGTTTTTGGTAGGGTCGTAGCGGTTCTCTTTGGCGCAGTACGATGCTGAGATACCGTATGTAAATTTGGGGGACGAGTCGACGCGTTGAGTTGTTGAGAAGAGTCGTATAGGTATTTGGTAGTTACGCGACGGCCTGAGGAGGGAACGCTTGAGGGGAAAGGACGCCATTGCTAACGAAGATTGGTATCGTCGCAGGGGTGTGGCAAAGCTGGCCGACATTGCAACCCCTCTACTGAATCTACAGAGCGGACTAGGAGTCATTGCTCTGAAGGCAATTCCTCCTGTTAGATATGCCATTTTTTGAAATTCTTATTGGTGTGAGGGTGGAGATAGGTGCCAGACAAAATGACGGAATGCGAAAGCCAATGGCTTGCAATCTGGCAGATCAAAGAAAAGGTCAAGCATCTACCAGCATACTTTTACAATTGAATGGTGAAAAAATAGACGTCTACGTGAATTGTTCAGATGTGGATATAGACAATTATGTGGACGTTGTTACAAATTTATAATGAGTTCTTTTAGAAACTCAATGTTCGTTCGTCATTGAGTGCCACATCGGATTATCCAGAGTGATACCCGCCGAGATCATTTCCAATCGGTATGTACTCGGAACATGAATCATTCATAAATTTTGCTTTGATATTATGATAATTTACAACTCAATTTTGGATCTCTGCTCACAAATGAGTTCCGCCATTAACCAACCTAAATCCACGAAGGACAATTGTAACGCCATGCCATTATGCTTTCCCGTATGTCAACCTGATCATGTGAATGACACCGTCATTATGCGACCTTGCCCCTCAAAACGCCGTAGAATACATACTGCAAGATCAGTCACACAATTAGACGTCTTCAAACTTGACATCCTCATCATCATCTTCGTCATCGTCGCCAAGGTCTGTATCTTCGCCAGGTGCAATGGCATCGCCAGCAGCAACCTCATAGTTGTCAGGTCTGTTCTCAGGCTTCAATGACCATTGTGTTGCGAAACGACCAGTCTTTGCTAAGAACGCGATCTTCTCGAGTGTTTCACGAAGATATGCCTCTGGTTGCTGGAGTCTGGCACGAAGTGCTTTCATGGACCAATAATTATACTCACGGAAACATTCGAAGATCTTATCCAGAAGCTCATTTTCTGGCATACGAGCGGCCTTGGTAAGTTGTGGCTTCCCACTAGCAGTGGAACTCTTGGTTTTCTGATTAGGTTAGTACAAATGTTGCAAAGCAATGTAGGTATGAGTCGTATATCTTACAATGAAGCTCCTATAAGCATCCGAAGCCTTGATGGTACCAGGCTGAATAAAACCTTGGCCCACATCAAGATCCTCATTGAGAAATTTCGTGCCGACTTTGGGTTTCATAGCTTCCAAAGTCCTGATGGCCAGAAGACGGTCTGATTCTTCGTTTTGTACGGCAATGCAACTCAATTCATGTACAACCCTACCGGAAAGATTTGTTCTCTCTATTCGAGTTCTGTCAGTAAAGTCCGATTTTATGGCTGTTGTATTAACATACTTGGAATTGCCTTCCGAAATTGAGGTTGGAATTTCCTATTGGGATCCCATGGTTGTTTGTTTGCCGGCTTCTCAATCTTTCCACGGGTTAATCTTGCTGGCATATTTGCAGTCTCCAGAGCAAATTTTTGTCTTGATTTCGATTTGAATCCTGGAAGATCTTGCTCCGAGAAAATGAAAGTATTCTTGACATTCGAGTTGGTAATATCGAGGTTATATTCCTTGGGAACAGTCTGATGCTGTGCAAGATTGGAATTTAGTAACATGGAATAAGAGTCCTATAGCTCAAGTTAGCTGACTTTCTAAATGCAAACTGTAGTGTCCGTACCTTGATAGTGCCGTCAGGCATTCTCTCTCGACAATTGCGAATGGTACCAATCTGTATCTCCTCATCCAAATCTTCACTCATTTCATTCCATGCATTCCAAACGTACTTGGGAACACGACCTAACCATAACTTTTGAAAACTAGGGTCTTCATTGATCACCATGTCTCCAGCATCCTCATATATATCATCATCCTCCATGAACCTGGGTGATGCGACCGCTGCCTCTGGATCCGGCTTAATGACTGCGTCTGCCATTTTGTATGTGTGTAGTGATTATCAAAACCAAAACAGGATTTCGTTCTTCTCTGGAACTTGAGATTCCCTCTGTGTGTCCTTCTGGTAGGTAAGTAGTTTGTGGTTGTTAGGAAGAACAAATACTAGATCAACAGTTCTTTGTTCGTTGCCTTTCAATCAACAATGATATTGAAAAGTCGCAGCCTTGTCGGATATTGAGCCAGACTGCCGATTGACGCTAGTAATGGCGTTTGTACTTTGATGACAAATCTTATGCGGCACTACTCTTGCATCTCCTTACTGATTACAAGAATCCTTCTACGGACAAACAAACGCCCATTTAACTGACAATTTAATAAGTCTTGTGATATAATATTATTTCAAGGCCTCGATAATATATCAGAGCGTCATTCATATACTAACTGATAGGAATATTCCACCATGGCTTCAGAAGACCAAGCCATCTTAGAACAAATCAGTCGTCTAGCTGGTACAGTACCCCATTATCAATATCATTAAGACAAATATTCTTTGTTTCTCTTTTCCGACTTGGGCATAAGCTTATACAGTACTTAGGTCGAATCAATCAACATAAGAACAACCAGTCAACCGATCCACATAATCAAACACATGTCCCTTCGCCTGCAAATGGTTACCATCCACAATCGAATACTCGAGGAGGTCATGGAGCTTATGCATACCATCCCTATGCAAACAGTAGCTGGAGAGGTAGTCGAGGTAGTCATAGGAGCGCATATTCTACGAGAGGATACCGAGGCGGAAGAGGCGGTGCTGGTATCGTGCGGCATCGAACGCTTGTGTTAAACGGTGGTACCTCCGTCCCACCATCACAGTCGGACTCATCAAACGTAACTGCATCTGCAGATGAGAACGAGCGATCCTCCTCTGCTGGTTACATCACAAAAACCGATCGTCATCTTCAGTTGATTAACAAGTCATATTTTGAGAAAGATAGTCAGATTCGCGTCAAAGCCATTGAGGAAACCAGAAAACAGAAACTTAAACAAAGGGATGAACGGGAGAAGTTAAAGCTGAGCAGACATTTGCAACGCCTAAGTGCGAGTTCTAGCTCTTCCATGGTCCAACCCACTGGAACAACCAATTATGAAGTTACGGTCAACGGAATCCGATTTATTGTCACAAAGAACGGTAGCAAACTTGTGAAAGCCCCTGGTGAGAACTCATCGTTTGCAGCAAGCTACCATTTTGTGTTCAATGCTCACTTACTTCAGGTGATCTTACTTCCGCAAATACTACCCCCAAGACTACTTTGATTGGAGGTGTCAAATTCTATAGAAGCAAGAATGGAAATATGTATCGCGAAGGGATAATCAAAGCCACTAGGTATGGCTTCAAAAAATGCGATTCCACAATTGCATTTCTTGTGTGAAATCGCTAACTCGGTCGCAGGAAGCACGGAATCGTTAAGATCAACGAGCCATGCAAATCATTCACCAATACGGGTACCTCCTTTCTTCCCACATTTCAAATTGTTACTTTATTTTAGGTTTTGGAGGAGGAGCGACTTGGGTTTCAGCTAACCACATATTGTTTAGGTACTTGTAACAAAGGCCCCAAATGCCGATATATTCACGACCCTTCAAAGGTTGGAGTATGTAAAGCTTTTCTTCTCAAAGGTGAATGTCCTAATGGAGATTCATGCGACCTGTCTCACGATCTTACTTCTGAAAGAACACCGAATTGCTTGCATTTTGCCAAGGGCAATTGTTCAAACTCGGATTGTCGTTACACCCACGTTCGTGTTTCACCGACAGCAATGGTTTGCCGGTCTTTCGGAATCTATGGATACTGCGACAAGGGAACCACTTGCACAGAGCGACACGTTCACGAATGCCCGGATTTCAGCAACACAGGTACTTGCACTACGAAAGGATGCAAACTTCCCCACCGCATCAAGGCTAGTGTTATTCGTAGGAATGCAGCTACTGGTGAATCTTCTCCCGGTGATCAATCGAGTGATATCTCGAGCGATGAAGAAGACGAGGTAGATAGCGATGACGTTGATTCAGATGCCATTGATGAGGAGTTTTTTGGCGACGAAGATGGAGAAACGGAACCTGGAATTCTCGCACAGCAAGATTACGTGCAATTTTCCTGATACTAACAAACGTAAGGCTTGATTCTGGAGCACTTTTCAAAAACTCGATGACCCTTGCGGTCTCTTTACAAAGATCTTCAAATCATTTTCTATTTTTTCTTTTTGCTGTTGTCTCCAAACTGCTAGCAGCGTCGAAGCTACATTGTCTCTTGCTACTAGGGTTATTAGAGACGTCGAAAACATTTTTGGGATACCCAGACTCGAATCCCCTTGTGTTTCTAACTTCAAGATTCTCATGTCTCAGCTAATCGAACTGGGACCTCAAAATATTGTTAAAGGAAAAATAGGAAAGAAAAATACATACAAGATTACATGAATCCCGTCTCTGTCGTTGATCTCGATTTCCTGCTGATTCATCCTTGCCTGATCTGTTTCGCCATTAATTTGTCATCTTTCCCTCTTTCCAAAGCGATATTCAGTCTTTAGTTCCGATTTGAAAACCAATAACAGGATTTAATCATTCATTTGGCGAATCGTTCGATGAGTGATGCATCTATATTAGTGGAGTGTTGAGAACTTCATAAGTCCTTGGGGTGTATATTCGTTTTGATTTACTTGCTTCTTCGACGGAAGATTCCTTTGACCAGATGCAGTTCTGCAAAAGTGAAAGGTTTGAGCGGAGCAAAGCACTCAGGTATACTGTATGCAATAGCGTACAAAGAACATGTCGCAGTGGAGAAGTCTCAGTTGGTATTGAGGATGTTGCAAACATCTGGTTCTTGGGATGCATCCACGTGCAAGTAACATATCTCTAATCGGTTGACTTTGCGTTCTAAATGGCCGGAGAAAGTCACGAATATCATGCCAAGGAAGAGCATTTCCTCATTTACGCATCTCTTACGAACCTGACATTGCCTGTGGCACATACACCATGAAAAGACTTACGGTTTACGTATAGGCAAAGATCACCTGAAGTAACATGAAACCGAGAGAGTGCCCAGTAAGCACTGGTAGGCTAACCTTACGTCGCCAGCCGTATCCAGTTGGTGGCGTCTCAACTTATTATAGACAGGATTTCAGTTGGATGCTGTTTGAAATTATTTCTGGCATTCAAAATACTCCACTAATGTCCCTCTTTGCCATGCTTTAGTCATGTTACTCATGTACAATCATAGGCGAAATTCAGACCATACTCCACTTCGATACAGCTACAGTACATAAGAAATGTAGCAAATATATTAATACCCCGTCCCAATGCGAACCTCACCTCGGCCGATCACGAGAATTACTGGCAGATACCAAGACCCATCCGCAAAATCTTACATGTTGCATACCACATGCATATCTAGTGGTGGCGGTGAAGCTCCTTTGTTTTTCCATTCCTATTCGGATTTCCGCTTCTACTTCAATATTGCGACTTCTACTAGGCTGTCTTCAGGTTGTCTTGAGGCAATATTTGCACTCTGGGAATGCTTCAGTACGAGCTCTGTTGAATAGAAAGATAAAATGTTGAAGCGGCAATGGATAAAGTGATTATTTTTTCAAGCGCCACCGCTAATGCACTGTACTGTACGTCGCACATACTTCCGTAAAAAGCACGCAGTTCTGGGCTGGACCCCATTTTCATGCCACTGAAGATATCCGTGCTTGCTTGCGAGCGATGCGATTCTCTTCTCTGTTGAAAGGCAAATTGCCACTATCTAGTGATCTCTGCGCCTATGGCATGTGCATGTCTTACCTTTGCAGGAATTTGCAGCACGCCAATGCGGTGGTCTTTTGTCGGATATCCGAATTGAGGCTCCTTCTCCCCCCCACGTTTCAAGGGTCCTCGTATACTATTTCTTGTTATAATTGTGAAGTTCCGCGTTATGCTTCACTCTATAGTACATGCAGGTCTCAAACTCAGTTAGACTTGATAATTATGCTTCCAATCTCTTTATCAGAATCCAACTACCAGACTAACACACGAAAAACTCTATTACGAAAAGTTGTACGATACTCGACAAACCTCGTAACACCATAACGTACAGCAGTTCGTCATTATGGGTAAGAGTCTTTGAAAATAGTCCGATAACGAGATAACTTACCTTGATCGGTACTCGTGGAGTGGAGTGGAGCTGCTTTTCTCCCCGCTCCAATCGCCAAGCGCTTTTTCTGATTTCTTCACCGCTCTCCGAGTTGCGTAGATCGATTTGGAAAGAAGATAATCGTCGGATAATGGTGGAAAGAAGAGGCTGTAAGCTTTGCGATTGGGGATCATAAGGTTTCATTATCAAAATTGAAGAGAGGCGTATGGTAAACGACAATTATCCTGTTTGGCACCAACAGAGGATCACCAAGCGAATCAGCGGTGCATACCCCTTACCCCAGCTCCGTTCGAGTTCAGTCAGAAGCACTCATCAGTGGTTTCGTGATACGGACATGCTTATAGCATCAAGAGGCAAAGTTGAAGATCAAGATCGATGCTCATTTCCTGAAATAGTATGGGTGCCTAGATACACAAGTCGCCGCTTCTAGATCCATCCATTTCCGAGTAGCACAGCCCATCAGATCACCACCTATAGCATTGATATTCCTTTCGTTCCAGTACCCATACTCAAATGCCAGACCTCGAAGCCTTGAGATTCATCCATCAGTCTCTATAGATCGTCGCGCTTGCCTGGGCTCTGTCGCTCTAGTTCATCTCTCGTGATGTCCTTTAATTCCTTCTTTCAATCTAACTCGGTCTTCTCATAGCCCCTCCTTTCCCCATCTTCCTTTGATCCTCTATACACAGGGTTCAAGATATCTGAACACAGGTTCCACATTCTCACATTATCTCCATACGATCCATACGATCCATAAACTTTCGACCGATTCAGACCCTGATGACCGTTGGAGCAGCTTTTGGTGATCCTAAGCTCCTCACACTCGTGAGGTTTCATTTCTCTTCGCTCAATGTGCCGTAATATGCGCTCATCGGATACCACGGTTCTTCTTCCTTCGTGATCGTTCGAATATTAGCGTTGAAGATATGTCATGCGCCGATGAATACCATCAATTCACTTCTGGTCACAATACAATCACCTGCCTCAATCTGACATAGCTCATAGAATCTTGCCACGGCCTACTGACCGGTGGTCCCTTTCAAGTTGCCTAAAAGAATTTACGAATGATTCCAGTCAATGGATCAGTAATCAAAGACGAAGTAGGTGAGTGATTCTTTAAGAAGCTAAACCCAAGAGAAATTTAAACCCCATACAATTTTGAATCTTTTTGAATTCAATCAGAGGTTCGTGCCGGTTGAGGACGGCTCATTTGGCGGTCAAGCATCAAAATCCCAGGAATCAGTGAAGAGTTTTCTCACACCCAAGTAGACTTTCCCCGCGACAGTAAAGCATGAGGTAAAAATTGAGACAAACTGTAAACCATAGTTCGCAGTTCGGCAAGCGGTCAACATCGGAACTTTTCCCCTCAAACCTTGTCCCGGTTAGGATCCCCCCTAAGCTGAATACCCCTCCCCTCTGCTCGCCTATATACATTCTAATTACTCAAATTTTTCACGCCACCATCATCATCGTCACTATACTACCAAAGTAAACAAAACAAAAGTTGAAAAACAACCCCGCGGCGATAGACAGGCCACCAAGCGGTCAACACCGGGAACCCACACATCACGTTTCCGGTAGCTTGGTAACTTTGATAGCTTAGAAAGTAGAAGACCCGATGTGGAGCTGCGGCTTCCCATCAACACTACAGTAGCGAAACAGTAGCGAACGGCTACCTGCACCGAGATGTCTTCACCGCACCATCATTCATTATTTCATACTTCGACAACCTATGCCATATGGGTTTACTCCTTTTGAATCTGGTACCGTGCTCCGTACTCGGTACTGTAATGCTGGAAAGTTATGTGCAAAATTTCTTAGCTTCATTTGAAATGGATATCTATTGAATGGATCTGGCTGGGGTGAAAATGTAATGTATCCCACTTGGAAGATCGATCAATCAATTGATTTGAGAAAGAAAAATTGTCATCCGTCCCCAACCAACACGACCCACAACACTTTAAAGCCGACAAGTACGATATCGGTAGATGCGATACGATAACTCATGAAAATCCGAAAATCCTCTGATCAATTTAATCTAATCGGCGAATCTCGGGGATTTTCTTCGAGCTTTGAGCTTCGTTTCGAAATCTTCAGATCGGATGAACCCACTTTGGCATTTCGTAATTTGCTTCTTATTCATGCTCTATTATTTAGTGAAATTGTCAAATTATACTTTATCCGTCGGGGTTCTGGCGATCTACACACAATAAACCTATATTGTACGTACGTCATTGGTCTATATAAGAGCACTTGTTATAATATGGGACACCTGTTATGGGGTTGACAGATAGATCCACATGTATGTAGTCGGAGAGGTCGTAAATCTAAAGGTTGAAAATGACAGGGAGAGGCGAGAAGCTAACATGCCTCGTGAGTAAGTTAGAACCGCATATTTTGATTCATGTTAGACAAATTTGTATTGTTCTAACGGTTCAATAGACCTGTATCTGGCTCCCCTCCATGTTCATATCAAATGGGAAGATTTACGAGGCCCTCGAGAAGACCCTTCTCAAAAGCATCTCGAGCCTATCCCTCCGAAATAAAACCTGACTCTCAGTAGATACTGACTCTGGCTTGCATCATTCCTCAAAGTCTGAAACACAGACCGACAATCCTTCTCAGATCAGGCTTCACTTTTCTCAAGATTCTCATGGGACAGTACTTTGGTATACTTCGTAATTAGTGGCTTTGCTCTTCTTTTCTCTTCCTTCAAAGTTGGGTCTTTGGATGTTCGCTTCCCAAATCCCAGGCGGAACATCCGGATCTCGACATCAGATCCTAAAATAGATGAGCGGTGAAGAATGTGAAGACAAAAATTCCTATGAAAATTATACGAAAATTCTGCCTCAACCTTGACGTTTTTGAAACTTTTGGAAAGGCTTGGAAGCTGGTAATTGGTAAACATTAGATAATTGGTAAATATAAGACTAAAAAGCTGTGTAGTAAGAAGAGGCTGTAGCTTTGGAGGAAGTAGGCCGCGGCTGCGCGGGTAGTCCCATTTGACAGGTTTGAAGGTCTGGAGAAGCCAAGGTGAAAGATACACTTTAGGTGGGCTGAGAATAACAGAGGATACCGCGTTTCTGAAGGAAGAAGAAGATTGTGAATCAAGTGAAATCTCGATGTCCATTTTTCCATCACTATCTCACCAAACAAACGCTTTTTTGAAAATCATAACTGTTGTGATATGATAATCATGAATCATGGGTAAGAAAATTCCCAGCCCCCTCAATTCTTCCAATCGAAACTTAGATGAAAAAAACAATAAGATCATGATTCAATTGTAACGCGTCCATGGCGCGACTGCCAGTGTAAGCAAAACCTGGAACGCCTACTCCGTAAAAGAAGCCAAGTGCACCCCACTCAGGTACATCCAGGACCCCAGGTACTCTAGATGGGATTCAGCTACATGTAGCATAATAGCATTTGAGCATTTTTGTTCGCACTTAAGTAAAAGAGGATCATGTACGAAATATAATTGTTTACCCGAAGTTTATTCGGTCTTCTTCTGACATTCTAGAAGAAAGTTTAGAAGTGTCTCTACTAGCATCATCGTAGTCGGTTAAAGCTTTAGACCCCCTTCATCCTGGGGAGGTCCTTAGGTCAAGCCCACTTCACAGAGGAGGGAGGTTCTGAAAGTCTATCGGGAAATTTATTCCTCAAGGGAAAATATCCAGAATGAAACAAAATTGAAAATGCCGTCATACGCGCAACTCTTTCATGCGCCCTAAGAGATCATTTTTCTAAGGACTAGGGGTGGTAGGCGATTTACCGATACCTCCGTACTATAAGAGACAAGATGTATAGTAACGGCAGTTCAATTCAGGAAGGGCTGGAACTGGGCTGCTGGGCTTTCGGGCTCTCACCGATTGAAATGACAGATACTAGGGTACCGGAATCAACCCTGCGGTCTTCTCTTGAATAGCAGTGATTAAAAATCGGTTTCGTACCCGTCCATCTTTCCGTAAGGTGCCTGCCGGCAGGCTCCAGGTAGCGGGAGACGAGGCCATGAGGTTGGATCTTTGTGCGGTAATGAATGGTATGAATCGGTGTCATGGAAAGCTACCGAAAGACTTGAGGGCTTGATTTACCAATGATTAGCTTGCCCTACCTTGACTTGGGCACGCAGAGCTTACGATCATTTGATTAGGTAGATTAGGTAGAAGTGAACCTAGGAGTATCACCTATCATTTGAGGCTTCACATTCACACTCTTACAAAGATACTGCATTCTGCGACCGTTTGAGGAGGCCTAGTGTAGTGAGAATACAAGTATTCATGAGTCGTGGATGAATGGATTTGCTGCCGAATGGCAAGGCCCAAGAAATGGGAAAAGGTGGGGATGGTGGTATGAGATGAGATTCGAAGAAGGCATTTTATTTGATGTTGTCATCTAAACATCTTTTACGGTTTACCTCGTTACCATCCGTTACCCGTGCTTTATTTACGATCTAGATGGTTTGATCAGCAGCGACCATGAGTGAGATGATCATGAAGGGGAATCTTGAGATTAAGCGAAGGGAAAATGCCACAATTGTAGGATCAAATAACGATTCCTTTGCCTGAAGATGATGAAAGTAGACAAATGATACCCCCAAAAGGGCTTTTTTTCTCCCACAAGAGCAATACGCGTGATCTTTGAAGTGACCTTTTTCGAGGGTATCACCGATTGCCTCAAAACATTTGATTGGTGCTCAAGGACCATCATTTTCTCGTTACGAGCCAAGCCCTGGTGGTATCAACGGGAAGCCGGAGTTTAACAGATTATTCCAATGATGAGAAAGTGTAGAAAAGATTGACAAGGGTAAAGAAACAATCGTATGCAAAACGTGAGGATATAACCTATCGGCGGCTTTCTTTTTAGGATTTTGATGCAAGCCCTCAGAATCAAGCATAACTCCATAGATGCCCAACCTGATGAGAGCAGGGAATAGGAAGGAGCCAAGACAACCATGTTGACTTTGCGTTCCCATGGGCAATTCTCAAAGAGTTATAGAGAATTAGAGATGGATTATTTTGATCCAGTGCCCATTTTTTATATAATCCGAGTCGAGATAATTTGTTAGGCACGATGTATTTGAGAGCGGGAAGCGGTTGATGGAGAAAAATCATCTGAATTCTCTTATGGTTAGCCCACACAATTAGATCAGGGTTCTAAGACAAACCCCCAGAGCTAAAATGGTA